TATGTTCTTGGGATAGCAATATCTTCTCTAGACCCTTTATAACTTGAGCTACCCAGAAATTAGGCTTTAATTTTCATTTTGTATGCATACAAGTCCCCATAATGTGGACTTCTCTTGGGCATGTAGACAAAATAAACAGGAACCATTTCAAAACGGGGTCCAAGAGAGCTACTTAGAGCATTCACACTTCTGGAAGATGATTAGAGGTTGCTGATGTTGCTACTTCCCTCCCTGTTCTCAAATGCAAATCTGTACATCAAAATGTAAACATGACAACAAAGAAGTTTCAGCTTCAGGAAGCTACAGTGGTGGAGCTTTCAGAGACCAATGATCAATTCTCACCTCTGAGCATTGGATTCAAGACCCCAAGGTCCTGAGAAGAAAGGGTGATTTTCTTCTGGGTATTTTCCATAATGCTGACTTTGTATTTCTGTTTCTTGGGTTGTACAAATGAAGGGAGTCAGGATACAGGTGACCACCATCTACCTTAGTGTGAAGATATCTTTTCCATCTAAGAGGGATGATGGAGGACATTTTAAAAACTATTTGAAAAAATATCTGAGTCCTTCTGTGAAATCTCAGTAAAGTGACAGTTATGTAGGGAAGAAATTGACAGAATGGAGTGCAAGATCCTAAATTTCTCCTATAAGTTATTGAAAAATCCTCTACAAGTTATCAGCATATTTTCTTAGTAGCATCCCTGAAAGAGATGCAGTAATGAAGTTGCTAGGCTTTTTAAAAAAATAGCCCTAAGAATGGCCTGTTATCATAGTGCTGAAGAAATGTAACATTAAAAAAAATGACTCAGTAAAAGCCCAGAATAATAAGGTTGAAGTACTCTTATCTTTGATCACATGGCTTGATTTATAAGTCCTTTCAGTCTATTTAACTAGAGACTTAAGCTCAAGCATAGCATTTACTCCTTTGGGAGATATCAAAATCTTTGTGGTCTTTCACACTTCTAGTCTCTAGCTTATTTCCCTTGCGCATCATCAAATCAAGCTAATATTGAGAGAAATTGTTGATTGAAGTACAAGTATATGTACAGTGTGAGGGAAAGAAAGCTAATGATTGAGAGGAATATGTGGATTTCATGTCCACTTAGGCAAACCGTAATCATTTAAGAGTATGTACTTTGGAATCAGATATCTGGTTTCAAATCCTGGCTTTGTCACTTAACATCTACAGAACTTCAGGCAAGTAATTAGCTTCTCTGAGCCTCTGACTTCCCTTTAGTATAATAAAAATATTTCCCCCAAAGGAATATGTTTAATCTGGCTAAAGGTAATAATATCTAAGAACAGGAGATTATGTTGGTACTCCCTTTGATGAGGTGAGGAAATTTCAGCTCAGTGAAGTTATTTAATTCTCCCTAGGCGGAGAAACTAGTCAAGAGTAGATCCAAGGTTTGAACTTGAGCACCAAATGAATGTTACAAATTGATTTTTCTGAGTTCCCAAAATGATATCTCAGACTTCATGGCAATTGCAATGCCTTCCTGCATAGGGATTTCCCCAAAGCACTCTTTATGTCTTTGTTTCTCAGGCTATAGATGAACGGATTCAGCATGGGAGTCACCACAGCATACATCACTGCTGAAATTCTGTCCTTGCTTGCTGAATCGCCAGTGGAATGGATGAAGTAAACTCCGATGGCAGACACATAGAACAAGCAAACTGCTGAGAGGTGGGAGCCACAGGTGGAGAAGGCTTTCCACTTCCCACTTGCTGATGGGATTCTCATGATGGTGGCCACAATGCGGATGTATGAAATGATGATTAGCAAGGGAATCAAGACAGTTAACGCCCCTCCCCAGTACAAAAGGACATATTGGTTGGCATAAGTATTAGAACAAGACAGCTTCAACAAGGGAAGAAGTTCACAAAAGAAGTGAGGAATGATGTTATCCATGCAGAAGGACAACTGAGTCAGGAGAATGGTGTGGGTGAGAGAGTATGAATGAGCAAGGACTAGAGACATGGTTACCAGCAGGATACAGCGTCTGGAACTCATTACCAAGGTATAGTGAAGAGGATAGCAGATAGCCACAAGCCGGTCATCCGCCATCACTGCTAGGAGGAAAACATCCATACCGATGAACCACAGGAAGAAATAGATCTGGGCTAGGCATCCAGCATAGGAGATGGCGTGCTTGTGAGTTTGGATGTTCATCAGCATCCTGGGGACCGTGGTAGATGCTAAACATAAGTCGGTGAGGGAAAAGTTGGCCAGAAAGAAGTACATGGGAGTGTGGAGGTGTGGATCAGAGCCAATTGCCAGAATGATGAGAATATTCCCAACCACAGTGACCAGGTAAATGATCAAGAAGATGCCAAAGAGGAGAGGCTGCTGGCTGTGCTGCTCTGAGAGGCTCAGGAGGAGGAATTCAGAGACACTGGTGTGGTTTTCTGGTTTCATGTTGTGGTGGAACTAAAGAATAAAATGGAGGTTGACTCTTCAACACTTTTTCTTGACCTAATATTGTTTTGATGGAAACAAAGACATAAAATACCCCAGAGTACTGATGGATGTCCATTATCTCACTGAAACCTGAAATTGCCCCGTGAAGGAATCATTGTTAGGTCTGAAATGCTAGCTTCACATCATTAGAACAAATACACAAGACAATCCACTTTAAGAGAAAAGTTTAACTCTGTCTTGTACTTGTGGAGGTTTCACTAAAACTTCCCACTAAGCCTCACCTCTTAAAATTTCCACCACCTCCCAATAGGACCGACCTGGGAACCAAGCCTTTAACACACCGGCCATTGCACAGTTATCTCATGGAAAATTCCAGCTCCAAAATAGAATACTCATCTTACTGAAAAAGAAATTAAGCATCCTAGAAAGGAGCCCAAGTACAGTTAAAATCTTGGCAATTCTAACCTAGGGCTTGTGATCTTAACTTCTCTATTACCTCTAATGATCTCAATACCTCTAGTTTATTCCCTTCACATTCACTGAGTACTGACTATGTGTCAGTCCCTGTTCTAGGTACCAGAGAAATGGTAAAAAATACAGCAAGATTCTTCCTTTATGTGGACAATATTCTAGTCACAAGAGTCATGTGATCGAGCATGAAAATAAGAAATGAAAATGAGATATAAAGTGACCTGGCAGATTACTTTAAATTGAAGGATCAGCAATAAGTATACTGTGGATGGATGGATAAAAGGAGCCACCCACATAAAGAATTGGTTGAAAGAACATTTTAGGTGGAGGGAAAAGTAAGAACCAACATAGGGATGAGTACAGGTATTTGTTGAAGAAGAAGGAAGACAAGTCTGACTGAATGAGGTTGGCAAAGGAGAGTGACGGGACAGAAAGCTGAAGGAAGGGGAGGTAAGAGAAAGGCATATGTTGTCCTGGAGTACAGATTACAGAGTTTGGATTTTATTGTCATACAGTCAGACACATGTAGGGTTGAGTTGAGTGGGTAGTTCATCAGTAGAGGACCGTGATATAGAAAGACTATTCTGCTGCTGTTTGGAGAAGTGTCATAAGGGCAAGATTGCAAGCAGGCAGACCAGTAAAGAAGCACATATAGGGCCAATTGAAGCCGATGGGTTTTGGCTATGTTTTGAAAAGTTTAGTGATTTGTCTCAGGAACAGTAAGTGTTGGATCTGGGCCCCAGAGGAAAAGGCTTTTTATTCCTTCAACTGCACCTGAGGATTACAAATATTAAAATTTTCTAAAGTATGCAAGAAAGAATTATTTCTCTTTATCAACAGAGGCATAAGCTCTAGCGTACTTCTCAAGTGTCATAATACCTGGAACATCTGGGAAACAGAAAGAATGAGAGAAGAGCTGCCAGAGATGGGATCATTCTGAGTTATTCCCAGAAGAAGAGAAAATGAAAAAGTGAAGACTATAGAGATGATTCATAGAAGGGGAGATACTATAAATATTACTTATATATAGATTATTTATCAATAAATTTCATCATTTGATCCACACCAAGTAAATGCAGGGTATCTTTTCCCCACATTATCAGGCCAGCAAGCGAGACAGAGAGGCCAAATGACAAGTGTAGGATCATACAACTAAGAAGGGAATATGTTAGCATTCAAATTAGGTCTTCTTTCAAACCTTGAATTTAGTCCCAGTTACAGTTTCACCTTCTGAGGCAGGCAGACTTTCATCTTTCTTTATGTACTACAGGGATTTGTTCACTACCTTGAGAAGGTAGCCTCGAGGAGCATTCTCCTCTCTAGAAGGCTATCGCCAAAGGCCTCAGGTGCCATGTGGGAAATTTTTCTTGTATTCAAATATTTATCGATTTTTACATTTAATTCCAGGCATGGCTGTAGGTACAGGAAACTTAAGGTTAATAAAAAACATAGCCCTGTTCTCACAGGCTAGTTGGGAAGACTGACAATACATGATAGGACACACACAGTCAGAAAGTTTGAAAAGGAGAAATATGGTGATGTCATCGAGGAAGCACAGTTGGAGCAACTATTTATATTAGAGTACCTCTGAGAAGTTTAATTATAATTTGGGGCCTGAAATCGTACCTATATCCAGAGTAAGAAACAAGAAGAGGAGAAATATACATTTCCCAGCCCATGTGAAGATCTTGGGGAAATAAAGGGTGTGACCAATATGGAAAGACCATTTTAGCTCAAGAAAGTGAATGAGATGTTGAATTTCTTGAAATATGACCCAGGCCTTCTGGTCACAGGTGATTGAAGAACGGAGTCAGCTGATTTAAATGATGACAGTTGGATCATCTTTTCAAAATTTGGAGTTTTGATACAGACAGTTTAAGGCTCTGAAGTTATAAATTCATGGGGAGTTGGGAAAAGCGGCAGTGTCCTGACCATCATAGCCTCAGGTCAACCTTTGAGATATACCTGTAGAAGGATAACTGAAACAAACTCAGAGAAAAGTGTAGTCAAGAGTCTGACATTCCAGAAAGACAACATAGCGGCCTCCCGATTTTCCAGTTTAACTTTTTTTTTTCTTGGGCTTTCCTCTCTCACCCTCATAACAAGAGATGGAACGGCTCAGTGTCCAAGAGTGCAGATTTTGGGGTTAAGCAGACCTGGGTATAAATCCTCCCCTGGTTGCTTATTAGCTAAAGGGAAAATTGCAAGGAATCTTTAATGATTACAAAGCAATAACAACCACCACCAGCAGCCAAGGAGAGTTAACATGCACTGACTGTTAGTATCCCGTGCAGGTGTTGTGCTAAAAGTGCTGTGCTTATTTCATTGGATTTTCATTGTTTTATAAGATAAGAAGGAGGAAACTAAGGTACAAAGAGGTGACACAAGTTGTCCAGTGTGACTGTGCCAATAAGTAGAAAAGCCAAGACTTGATCCCTGATCTGATTGAGCACTCACCTAATGGATCTCAACCAGCTTCAGATGCTGTTGAGTTGTGGGGTTCTGTATCCTCTTGGAAAATGGCAAATTCACATCACAACCCCTTCTGGATACTCAGTCCTTTCCCCTTATGGAATGGATGTGACATTCACAGTTGTGGGCAAAAGTAGAGTAGATTTCTGGCATCATAACAAGTGAAACTGGAAAGCCCTGAGGTGGCTCATGTGGGAATATTTACCAGGTTTGGAAATCCCTGGGTCCTTATTAGTGGGGCCACAGACTAATTGTATCTGGCTCCCTAATGAGAGGAGTTGGACAGCTGCTTCAAAGTGGGACTCTCTTCCACTTTGTAGACTCTCACAAAATATTTCTCTTGTCCATCACTTAGAGTCATTTCTCTGAGCTTGCTACTGTTACTCTGTTGCTCTGATCTGTATCTCAGATAGCAAACTTGGGTAAATGCTGCACAAGGAGACAACAGAGATGAGTTATCTATTCCCCATCAGATTTAGATACTACATTAGCCCAAGTATATTGGCCAATGTTTTGACTCTTCTCTGTTATTCTTTTTATAACATGCAATTAGAATAGAAATCGTGGAATAGAAAAATTTAAATTGAATATACACCAATTTATCAGTTTTATCTAGCACTTTGCCTAGCATTTTGTGACATCCACCAATGTTTAGTGTGTATTGCATTATTAATTCTTGTTCTATTAGATTTTATCATATAAATATGTCATAATTTAAAAATCCATTATAATATAGATGAATGTTTAGATTTTCTTCCAGTTTGGTCAGTTATGAATAGAGCTTCTGGGGATACTTTTGCAATATTTTTTGGTAAGCACTTAAGTATAATTCTCTGGAGTGGAATTACATGTCTGAATCAAATAAAGGAACTTCTGGGCAAGGAGAATACATTAATAGATACCGCCCAATTGCAGAGGGTTTTACCAATACAAATTCTCACTTGTAGCAAAAGGTTTTAGTTGCTCCAAATATTCAACAGTACTTAGTCTTTTGAATTTAATTAATTAATTTTTGTGATGCTGGGGGTTGAACCCAGGACCTTATGCATGGTAGGCAAGTACTCTGTCGCTGAGCTGCTCCCCCAACCCATTTAAAATATTCTAACTATATTAGTGGGTATATAATAGTAGCTCACGATGGTTTTAACTTATATTTCTTTGATATCAACTGAATTTTAACTTCTTTTAATGTATCTGTGTATTGTTTTTATCTTCTTCTGTGAAGTAGCTATTTGAACCCTAGGCTGCATTTTTCTATTGCACTTTCTCTCTTTTTCCCTATTGATTGAAGTGTGCTTGTCTATTATGAATTTGATTTCTTTGCCAAAGATAGATAGAATCTTCTCTCACTTCATGAGTTGCCTTTTCACACTATCTAAATGGTATGCTTTGATGAACAGTAGTTCTTAAATTTAAGTTAGTCTAATCTCAACTAGCTCCTTGTGGTTGGTAACTTTTATATTTTGGTTTTGGCTGCCAGATATATAAAGATATTCTCTGATATTAATTCCACAAAATATTTGTTTTTACCCTTTATATTTATGTCTATCATCCTTATGGGTGCTATTTTTGTTTATGGTGTGAATTATAATTTATTTTCCTCTTATACAAAATTCAGTTTTACCAGAACTAGTACTGAAAAGATCATCCTTTTCTCATTGCATCGTGGTATATCACCTTTGTTAATATGTGACAATTCTATATATTGGGTCTGTTTTGTTTCAGTGGTTTTTGTATCCTTATAATACAACATCATACTGTTGTAATTACAATAAACAGCATAAATATTTTAATTTATGCATAGAGTTGTACATATTTATAGGGTACCATTTGATGTTGAAATACATGTATAAATTGTGTAATGCTCAATTCAGGGTAAACTTATCAATTTCCTTAAATATTTATCATTTGTTTGTAATGAAAATACTCAAAATAGTTTTTTCAGATTTTTCAAAATATAGTACATTATCATTACTCCCATCTAACTCTTAGTACTCAGTATTGCCAAACCTTTCCTTACCACTCTTCCCAGGCTCTGGTAATTGTCATTCAACTTTAAACTCCTGTGAAATCAACTGTATTAGATTTCCCACCTGCATGAGATTATGCAATATTTGTCTTTCTGTGCCTGACATATTTCACTCAAGACAATGTTATCCAGTGGAATCCATGATGTCACAAATAAAAGGAGTTAATCCTTTTTAAATGTCTAAGTAGTATTCCACTGTGTATCCATTTACCTGCTACTAGGTATCTAGGTTGATTGCATATGTTACTTATTATAAAAGTGTTGCAATAAATATGGGTATTGAAGGTATCTCTTTAGTATGCTGATTTCATTTCCCTTGGACAACCTACAAGTTGGATAGCTGGATCATATGGTATATCTAATTTCATTTTTGGAGGAATATCTATACTTTCCTTGACCCGAATATAGAATAGTGATTACTAGAAGTGAAGAGAGGGAGGAGAATGGTAAATGGAGGCTGGACTAGGTCCGTGCATCCTGTATGGATGTATTAAATTATCACAACAATCTCCACTGATATGTACAGTTAATACACATGAATAAAAAAGACATGAACTCACTAAAAAAATATAAATTAGAGAGATCCACATGTAATGTTAAAGGTTACATTTTCTTTCATCCCTCCAGCTTTCAATATAAAGCCCTTGTGATGCCCATAGACTTGGGAAGGGAGAACACATCACAGAGTAAAAATTGACAAGTGGTCTGCGCGATGCAGCTAGTTGTGACCAGACAAAGGAAATGAAAACTTGATGGATTCCACTGATTTGGGTTTTAGAACTGAAATATGTTAAACAACCGAACTTCTTATAATGAGGCCCAACTAATGGAGTCAGTCAACCAGCAGTGTCTCTGAGTTCATCCTCCTGGGACTCTCCTCTCAGCCTCAGGACAAAAACAAACAAACAAACAAACAAAAGCAAAAACAAAAACAAAAAACACTCTTTATTCTCTTCCTTACCCTTTACCTGTCACCACAACAGGAAACCTGCTAATTATCCTGGCCATCTGTTTTGGCGCCCGTCTCCCAACCCCCATGTATTTCTTCGCAAGTGTCTTGTTTTTCAATGACATTTGCTTCACCACAACCATTGTCCCCAAGATGCTGGTGAACTTCCTGTCAGAAAGGAAGACCATCTCCTATGCTGGCTGTCTGACACAAATGTATTTTATCTATGCCTTGGGCAACAGTGACAGCTGCCTTCTGGCTGCCATGGCCTTTGACCGCTATGTAGCCATCTGTGACCCCTTCCACTATGTCACCACTATGAGCCACCGCCGCTGTATCCTGCTGGTGACCTTCTCCTGCTCGCTTCCTCACCTCCACTCTCTCCTGCACACACTTCTACTGAATCTTCTCACCTTCTGTGACTCCAATGTTATCCACCACTTTCTCTGTGACTTCAGTCCCCTGATGAAGTTGTCCTGCTCCCCCACACTTGTCGATGAAATTGTAATAGTAACAGAAGGAGCCGTTGTTTTGGTGACCCCTTTCCTATGCATCGCTACGTCTTATATACGAATCCTTGTCACAGTTCTCAAGATCCCTTCTGCTTCTGGGAAACACAAGGCCTTCTCCACCTGTGTTTCTCATCTCACCGTCGTTGCGCTCTTTTATGGAAGCATCTTCTATGTGTATTTGCAGCCCGTGTCCACTTACACTGTCAAGGACCACATAGCAACAACAGTCTACACAGTTTTGTCGTCCATGCTAAATCCTTTCATCTACAGCCTGAGAAACAAAGACCTGAAACAGGGCTTGAAGAAGCTCATGAGCCAGTGGAGATCCTAGACAGCACCCTCTTGACAAGCTCAGACGTGCAATCTGCTTCCCTTGCACCTGTTTTCTGCCGGTTCTTGGTGAACAATTAAGCTGTCAGAGGTTGGTGTGTTAAATCTACGTGTGACAAGAACCCTGTGAGCACTAATGTCCACTGATGATGGTCCGTCATTCGGCCTTGTGTCTACTTAAATCACAGCATTCTTACCGCATATCCCTTCTCCTTCTTAGGATGAGTCATCACGTTCTCCATGCTTCCACCTTCTAGTTACTGCTTGAAAATAACCCTTTCCCGTGGGGCAAAGGAAATAAGGAAAAGCAAAAATATGAGGATTTGTTCATAAAGTCTTTTCCTATGCCAGTGTCTTCCAGAGTTCTGCCTAACTTACCTTCCAGCAAGTTTAATGTTTCTGTTTTAATATTTAGATCTTTAATCCATTTGGATTTTAATGTAGTGCATGGTGAAAGATAAGGGTCTAAGTTTTAATCTGTGGCAGGTTGAAATCCAGTTTTTCCAACACCATTTATTAAAGAGGCTATCTTTCCTCCACTGAGGATGGTCAGCTCCTTTGTCAAAGATGACATAGCTGAGTACATCTGGGTTTGTTTTTGTGCCTTCCAGTCTGTCCCACTGATCCTCAGGCCTGTTTCTTTGCCAGTACCATGCTGTTTTTATCACAGTGGCTTTGTAGTATAGTTTCAAATTGGGAATTGTTATACCTGGTGCCATGTGTCTGTTGCCTAAGATGGCTTTTGCTATTCTAGGTCTGTTATGGTTCCAAATGAATTTTTGGATTCTTTTTTCTAGTTATGTGAAATATAGTGTTGGAATTTCAATTGGCATTGCATTGAATGTATATAGCAGTTTTGGTAGTATGGCCATTTTTACTATGTTGATTCTTCCTACCCAGGAGCAGGGGATATCTTTCCATTTTTTTATATCCTCTTCAATTTCTTCTTTCAGAGTGCTATAATTTTCAGTGTAGAGATCTTTTGCTTCTTTTGTTAGATTGACTCCTAGATACTTCATTTTTTTGGATGCTATTGTAAAAGGAATTTTTTCCCTTATTTCTCTCTCCGTGAGTCTGTTATTTGTGTATAAGTCACACATGTGTAAATACTGAAGAGTTTCTCTGGTGTGAATAATCTGCAATAATACAGAAGATTCTAATAAGATTACTGACATTGAGAAATGAGAAGAAAGGAGTTAAAGGTGTAGGGAAGGTGGGATGGGTAGGGGAAGGGGAATAAGGGAAAAGAAAAAATGTGAGAAAATGAAAAGATGGAAATAAAGAGTTTGTAGATGGGGAGGGGAGGAGGGGGTGAAGGGAGGGAAGGGACAAAAGGAAAAAATGAGAATCAAGACCTGTCATGTAGAGGTACAAGATCCCAACAATGAATGTAACTGTACTGTATCCCTAAAATGTACCAATAAACTCAATTAAAGCTGAAAATAATATAAGAAAATGTAAAAATGGAAATAAAGAGTTTGTAAATAGGGAGGGGAGGAGGGGGTGAAGGGAGGGCAGGGACAAGGGGAAAAAATGAGAACCAAGAACTGTCATGTGAAGGTACAAGATCCCACAATGAACGTAACTGTAGTGTAGACCTAAATTGTACCAATAAACTCAATAAAAAAAGAAAATAACCCTTTCCCCACAAATATTTCTTGAGAAAAATTCTCTTGGAGTATCAAGACTGATATGCCAGATTCATCACATTTGAATATATTAGTGAAAAAAGTTATGTCATTTATAGCTGTGGAATGTGTTTTTTAACATTCGAAGAGGAAAAGTATTGAGGAAGAGAAGATACAGTGAAAGGTAGGCTATTATTTAGTTGATTTCTTCATTTTGATGATATGTATTTCCTCATTTCCAAGATATATCATGTTTAAAACAATATTTTCTTTTCTACATGTTTTTTTCTTTGTCTGTGTTTTTAGTTTTGTTCTTCCTCTTTTCTTTATATCCTTCCTATATTATACTACTGTGTTTTTTCCTTTAAATTTTCTCATACTTTACATAAAATTAAAAAAACTAATATAACAATCCAGGAACAATAAAAAGAAAATTGTTTATTCTAAACAAGGGATGTTGGATACTTTCCTTTGCTTCTAAACTGTGTGTTTAAAGTAAATTAATAATTTATCCTAAGACTCTCATTCCTTGGATGTTAGCCTCTAGAAATATAAGTATGTATTGACTAATACTATTAATGTGTGTTATAGAGTGAGATATGTATGTATACATCTAAAGATCCTACAAAATCCCAATTTATAATAGATAAAATGGCAATAATCTAAAATATTACCAGCCAAAAGCTGTAGAAAGATACTATGATTCATCTCATAGATTTTTAAAAATTAATCAATTAATTTTATTAGTACATTTAAGGTATACAGTGTATTGACATTCATCATTGGAAATTTGCACCTTTATATAATCCATCTTGGTTCTTATATTTTTCTCCATTCCCCTGCCTTCCCTTCACCCCCTCTTCCTGCTCTATCTACAAAGACTTTGTTTCAATTTTTTTCTTTTTCTCATGTTAATTCCATTCCCGTCTTTCTTTTCCTCCACCTCTCTCATTTCCCCTCCCCCTTTGCACCTTTTCTTCCTATTTCACATTATCTATTATACCTTTTAGTCCTTATTTACACTTTCAATTTCTCATACTAGAGAAATTATTTGGCATTTACATATATGTGTCCCATTTATTTCACTTAAGAGTATCAACTCAATGTACATCCACTTAGTTATAAATGTCTCTAGTTTTTCATTCTTTATGGCTAAGTAGTACTCCATTTTATCAGTTTCAAAGGACCAAATACATCTCTATTGCTATCTTACAAATACCATTAAGTAGAAATATCAGGATGTGAAAAATAAGAACCAAGATATACCATGTAAGGGTGCAAAAAAAGATGTAAACAAAATGTAAATGTAGAACTTTGTTACATTATAAACCATCATGATTGTAATCATTATGTGCTACAAAAATACACTATAGAAAGCTGTGCCAAAATAATGAATAAATAAAAATTTAAAAATATTATTAGAAACACACAGTGCCAATTTTCTATAGTGAATGTAATCATTATGTACTGCAGACATGTACTAACAAAAATAAAACAATTCCTAAAAAATGTACTTGTGTGTATAGTCACTGTGTAAGGATAAAAGTGAGAGAACAGAAAAGAGAGTAATTTTACTTCCTTGTAAACATATACAAAGTGTAGATTTGTTCAGATAAGTATTTATTGCTTATAAGTCTAAAACTATTAATGAATAAGATGGCAATGCAATGATGAAAAGCTTTGAAAATTGCAAGGTGAACAGACACTTTCTACATGTTGTCTATCTGAAAATGTATTATTTAGCACTTTAACCTGGGTAGGTAACTTGATAATTTGGTTGGGTATATCACTCTAGGTTCCTAAACCTTCATTTGGATATTTAAAAAAATATATCTATATTATCCTACTGCACCCTTGTTTTCAGTGAGAAATGGGAGGACATTCTAATTTGTGTTCCTTTGTAATGGCTCATCCTCTCTGTAGCTATCCTACACCAAACATGGCTAAGTTTCTACTACTTAGTGGGAGGGCAGACCTGGATTCTACCTGCTGTACCTCAAGTCTGAGTTCAGGAGCCTGGGCATAGTTCTTGACTCTGACTTTTCCTTCAAGTGTCAACATTTAACAAAGGGACAGGCAAAGGACAAGTTAAAAAAAGAGAGGGAAAAGAGAAATCATACAATGAACAAACAAAAAACTCCCTGGTCAAACAGTTTTCTTAAACTTGGAACCAAAAGAAAATGTTATGATCTATAAATACAATTAAACTTCACCAAAATTTAAAAAATTACCTGTAAATGATTCTGTTAAGAGAATGAAAAGAGAACTTATACATAGGGAGAAAACATTTGTATATCACTATCTGACAAGGGACTGATGTCTAGAAGGTACAGAGAACATTTAAAACTCAACAGTAAGAAAGTAAACAATCCAATGGGAAAATGAGCAGAAAATACGAAGAGACATTTCACCAAAGTAGATACATAGCTGGCAGATGAGAATATAACATAAAATAAACATCATTAGCTACAGCACTTGGGAAATGCGAAATAAAATGACAATGGGGTTTGACTACGTAGCCATCAAAATGGCTAAAATAAAAATAATGGCACAACCAAATGCTTATAAAGATGCAGAGAAACAGCTTAGTGGGGGTGCAGAATGATACAGCCACGGAAAAAACAATTTAGAAGTTTCGTTTAAAACTAAAGGTGCAACTAAATTATGATCCAGAAATTGTATTTATTCCAAAGACACGAAAACTTAATGATCAGACAAAACATGTACAAAAATGTATTTTGTAGCTTTATTTGGAAATAGACAAATGTTGAAAAAAAACCCATCTCTCTCAAGGAATGAACAATTTAACAAACCATGGCACTCTATACCTTGGAATACTATCCAGCACCTTTTATTTTTTAGTAATGTGGACTGTGGGACCTTTTCATACCAAATGCTACTTCCCCCCTCCTTTTAAATTTTTGTTTCGAGGCCAAGTCTTGTTAAGTTTCCCACGATGGGTTTGAACTTGTAATCCTCTTGTTTCAGCCTTCCAGAGTACTAGGATTACAGGAGTGAGCCAGCATATCCAGAAAAAGAATTAACATGTGTTGTACACTTGTATCAGTTCCTTGTGACGATCGTGCTCATTACATACTGCAAGCATGTAGTAATAAAAATAAAAATTAAATAAAAACAAAATAGAAATATCCAAGACAAAGAAAAAAGAAATTAAACATCGATACATATATCTTGGGTGAATTTCTATAGGATTATGTCGAGTGAAAAAAACTATAATCTCCAAAAGTTTACAGACTATACAATCTCATATAACACTCTTGAAATTGCAAAATTATAAAAATAGAAAACAGTTTAGTTGTTGCCAGGTTTTAAGAAGAAACTGAAGGCAAGGGTGAAATGGATGTGATTGTAA